CCCTGCCGAGACTCTGCACCCCCCCAGCACCTCACTCACTCCTTTCACCGAGGCCCTGCACCCCAGCCTGCTCCTGCATCCTCCCCCCGGCCAGACATCTCCCCCCCCAGAGAGAGAGGGGTTGGTGAGCAAAGCGAGCAGGGGGCACAGCCCCCTAGTAGATTTAATTTATTGTTATACATAAAGCAAGTAAAATGGCAGTGGGTATAATATTATTACATGTAACTATAATACTGAACATCTGAATGTCTCTATACATTTTGATTTTGTATTTTGTCAAGGAAATTAAATACATCATGACTCATTTCAGTTTTCAATCTTATATAAACAAGTCAAAACATCTGATTATATGAAAATGACAATAATACAGAATTGTAGGCTTGAAACTTTAAGCAATCAGAAACATGCAGAGTTGCAGACTACAGTTCAGGTCCGTCTGGTTGCACAGCATTCTGCAGCAGAAGACCAACTCTGATTTAGTAGATAGAACGAGCCTATTTTTAGTTTCCAATAGATGTATCTGATGTTCAAAAAGATTCATTCTATGTCTGCTGAACTTGCAGGACCGGATGCAGTTATTTTCCCAGTTTAAGCCAGTTTTACCTGTGTCCCATCCAAAACCAGTATTTCCCCAAGAAATCAACAATCTTCATTAAAAGATTTTAAATAATTTTTGATGTTTGCAAATGGTCAAATATTGTACAGTTTTAGCAAAAAGCTTCATTTATAATTTATTAAATATCTTAGTAGGGGGCTGCGCCCACAGCTCACTACACTCATACACCCAAAGAATGTGAGAGCATGTTGACATTTTGTTGCTTGGCAGGAAAAACCTTTTTTTATACAGAGAGAGATTATTGTATTCAGAAGATGTTCCATCCCAGAAAATTCATATGTACAGCGAGATTACGGGGAAAAAAGGAATCTAAGACTCCTAGTGGTTTACAGATCTCCAGATGGAAGCACTGTCAACTTTCTTACAGAGCTGCTGCTTCTCATCATGGTACCGGAATCCCCAGATTCCATGTCTACAGTGACCAACCTTTACAGACCTCCTCAATGATCTGATCTCATGGCCTACACGGAAACACTTGGATTTTCTCAGGCATGCTCTAAACCTATGCATGCAACTGGCGGAGCCCCTAGTACTGGAGCAGCAGCCAGCGGGGATCAGACAGTTAGTCCCTATTGTCCCCTTCTCTTCCTGGAATTTTTAATAGAACTCAGGGGCAGGTGACGAGCTTCAGTGAATTTGTGTTTATTTCCTGCAACCTATCCATGACATCTACTAAAAATACTTGTGATAAAATTGGATATCTATCTTAATGATAAGTCTCTAGATCAGAGCAGCAATGATTAAGTTTAAGACAATTTAAAGAGGCAATAAATACCCAACAGTAATAACAGCAACATCTAGCTAACGCAATATAACATGATGGCTAAAACGTCACTTGTAAAACACACTTTGGAAATTAGGAGACTAGGCAACAAATGGCAAATGAATTTTAATGCTGATAAATGTAAAACATAATCCCATCTCTATGTGCAAAATGATTGGGACTAAATTAGTTATTACCACTCAAGAAAGATCTCGGAGTCATTGTGGATAGTTCTGTGAAAACATCCACTCAATGAGCAGCAGCAAACAGAATGTTAGGAATCATTGAAAAGAGATAGAGAATAAGACCGAGAATATCTTATTGCTTCTATATAAATCTATGATGCACCCACATCTTGAATACTGCGTACAGATGTGGTTGCATCATCTCAAAAAATATATTGGCATTGGAGAAAGTTCTGAGAAGGGCAACACAAATTATTGGGGTTTGGAACAGCAGCCATATGAAGAGAGATTAAAAGTATGGGCATTTTTCTAACTGCTTAGAAAAGAGGAGACTAAGGCTGGGGAATACAATAGAAATCTGTAAAATCATGACTGGTGTGGACAAAGTGAATAAGGAAAAGTTATTTACTTGTTCCTATAAAAACTAGGGGTCACCAAAAGAAATTAACAGGTAGCAAGCTGAAAATAAACAAAAGGAAGTACTTCTTCATGCAACGCACAACCTGTGGAACTCCCTGCCACAGGATGTTGTGAAGGCCAGGAATTTTAATAGGGTTCAAAAAATAACTAGATAAATTCATGGAGGTTAGGTCCATCAATAGCTATTAGCCAGGATGGGTAGGAATGATGTCCTAGCCTCTGTTTGTCAGAAGCTGGGAATGGGCAATAAGGGCGGGATCACTTGATGATTACCTATTTTGTTCATTCCTACTGGGGGCACCTGGCATTGGCCATTACTGTAAGACAGGATATTAGGCTAGATGGACTTTTGGTCTGGCCCAATATGGTCATTGTTATGTTCTTAATTCTTTGGGCAGCTTGTTCTGAGAAGCACACAAGAGAAGAAGGTATTCTAAACACAAGCCTTGAGTTAATTTAGGACCTGTGATGGTGAAACTAAGAATGGGGATACAGATTTTTCAAGAACAGAAGTTAAAAACCAAGATTAACTTGAAAAGCTAAGCATCTTCCATATTATTTCCACCAATGTTATGGAAATGCCATTATTACTTTGGAAAAGTTTACCAACTAAAAATATCCATTCAATGAATCCTGTTCTAGAAATTGCATACCCAAAAACATTTTCTGTTCCATCACGTTTGTGCTGGGCCCATAGCACATTAAGCTGTAAGGCTGGATGTAGGCAAAGATCTTCCACAATCTCATTAATGTAATGGGAAAAAGATGTTCCTAAGAAAGTTATCAGGACAATTAATTTTTTTGTGTTCCCCAGTGTTTTAGCTGTTACTTCTACTTCTGCCCTCATGAAAGATCTTCCAAGTCTTATAAATACAATCCTTTTTACATGGTAGGTACATAAGAGGGTTTTCAATGGTGCTTACCATTGTAGTGGACTGTGCAGCTGATGTTTGTAACTGCCTATTGACAGGGATTGGTGTTGAGTCAGCAGCTCTTGAAGACTGAGGTGCAGTAGGCTGCATATTGGTTACAGTTTGAGAAGATCCCGATCTTTGGTTTTGACTTGATTTATTTAATCTGCTATTTCTCTCTCCAGCAATCAGATCTCGGATTTTGTGTAGCTGTTCGATTGAGGCTTCCTTAGGGAAAACAAGATGAGTTTCTCCCTGAAATGTAAGAAATATGGAAAAGTTATTTTTTCTGTATTTAGTGCATGCAAATGAAACAATGCTATTTAACCCTTTCTCTGCTAGCCTTGCTGCAAAGAAGAGGAATCCTTATCCTTATAGATATAGAAAAACTAGAACCAGATATGATTGTTTCTTAAGGAATGTGCCTATCTTTAGCAATTAAGAGGAGAGAAGAGGGAAAAGGGCCTTGTGTTGATATTTTATCTTATTACTTCAATAGAGAAAGTGTCCAATTTCTCCTCTAAACATCATCGTGTGTGCTAGCTGTGCAAGATCTTATGGGAAGTATGGAAACTGCCAAGCCTGAAGGGAAACCCAGAAGTAATGAAATGACCATGGTGCTACAAGGAGAGTGTTGACCCAGTACAGTCTTGAAGAGATGGCACAACTGTAATTTAGATTTCTTCCCCCGTCCAAATCCCTGAGAAAGATAGATTAACATACAGAGCTGGACCACAGCCGCACACCTAACACACGCAAACACCCTGCAGGTGGCTACTGAAAAGAAGTTTGTGATCTCCATCTTGGATTCCCACAACCCCTATATGTAGATGAAGCTGAATACTCTCAAAGTTCTAAGTCACACGAAACACAGCAGCATTTTGCTTACTAACACGGGTCCCTGAACAGAGTCACAGTGTAGTGCAATTATCTACAAGGACTCTCAGTTGAATACTGGGTCATTCAAGGTGTTATTCTGGACTTCTTCATGAGATTAGCCCTAGCAACCTGAGAGACTACCTCTTACTTTGCATTCAGGCTCTCCCATGACAGTTATACCAAGGCAGTTATAATGTGTGATCCACAGAGGGAGGCTCATAAGTGCCAAAGACAGAACTTCCACCAGAACTGACATTGGGCCTAGATTAGGGAACTCAATCCCACAAGAGATGAGAGCACTGATGGAGCCAAATACAGCTCTGAAAGCAAAACTTTTTTAAAATTAGCTTTTTTAATTTAGCTTTCCCTCAAATATTACATACACAAATTAAAACTAGAATCTATTTCTACTTCAAGAAGTGTGGAGGGTTCTCCAAAGCAACAGTGATGGGGCTGCACCAATGCATTTTGGAAGGGTGTTGTCAATCACTGTAGTTCAGAAAACAACACTGTCTAGTTAGCAAGAGTTGTCAATAAGCTTCAGTAATACATAAAACAGTTGGGAGCAGGAGAAGCTGCAGTACTTACCAGTGGAGCTTAGACTGTCACTTCTGTCTTCTTTAGGCTGATTGTCAAATCAAAATATTTTGCTGCACATGCAAAGCAGTCAATGAGCAACTGAATGTCTTTGAGGTTGTAGGCCAGTAAGTTACAATTATCAGCAATAGTAATTTCTAAATATTTGCCTTGATAACTTTTGTCTTTATGCACTGGCAATGCAGATTTAAGACATCTCCAGCCATATGGTACTTCATATAAATACCACTATCAATGTCTCTGGATGCATCTATTAGAGCAGGGATTCCCAAACTTTTTGACACAGGGACCAGTAAATCCATTCACGAGCTTTGGGAGGACCAGTAAAATTCATTTGCATATTCATTAAGCAAATGACAAATATGCAAATACGTTGTTTTTGGTCCTCCCGAAGTCCCCAGGGCCAGCTTTAGCAAAGCTTTTGATACGGCCACCCACAATATTCTTACCAGGAAGTTAAGGGAATATGGATTGAAAAAATGGACTGTAATCCAATAAAACCCTGCACCACCACATCATGTATTGAAAAGGGGCTCATTTATTTTCAGAAAGCTGACACCATCTTTGGAATTTTTTATCCATATTCTCATTCCGGATGGTGAATGCCCCAGGTTCTCTCCATTCTGACACATTGCAGTGCCTTTAAACCTCACTGTCAGCAGTGGGGATATTTAAAAGGCACTGCTTTTAAATGTTTAGTCAGGATCTGCATGTGCCCTGAACTGTTCCGCTCCCCGTTGGCCAATTCTCTCCCCCCTGTCTCGTCCTGGGCCAGCCCCGCTGTCCCCACCAGCCGATTCTCTCCCCATCTCTCCTGGCAAGCCCTGCTGCCCCCGCCAGCCCTGCTTCCACCGGCCGGTTCCCCAGCCAGACCTGCGATCTCCCCCAGCCAGCCTCACTGCCCCCGCCAGCTGGTTCCTTCCACCCCCGCAATCTCCCCTGGCCAGACCCACTGCTCCCCCCTCCCGCAGCCAGCCCTGCTTCTGCCGGCCGGTTCCCCTCCCTATCTCCCTCGGGCAGCTTCACTACCCTGATCCTGCTTCCCTGTGGCCCATATCCAACCTCCCCTCCCCCTCCACAGCCAGCAATAAGAGCTCACCTGGTAACCCTCACTATGCCACTGCCGGGAGCCTGAAACATACGGCTGCATCCACCCAGCCCAGCTGAGGGCTTGGGGAACCCGGCACTGCATGAACACCCTGGCAGCCACGCTGAGGCCCGGTATTTTTTTCCCGCAGCCCGGTACTGGGCCACGGCCCATAGTTTTGAGAAACGCTGTAGAGCAACTGCAAACACAATGCTAAATACTATTGGGATAAGAACATAACTTTGTTTTACTCTATTGGTGACATCAGAAGAACTGAGAAGCAGCCCTAGTCAAGTACATGAGCTTGAATTCCTACATGAAAAGATTTAATAATGCTGACAAACTGAAAGGAACTGGATTGGTGGAGGACTGTCCACAAACCATCTCAATTTACAGAATCAAAGGTCTTAATAAGACAGATAAAAATTACATATAGGTCTTGATTTTGCTCCCGACATTTCTGCTGTATTTGCTGGAGTGAAAAGATCACATCTGAAGTACCGTGCCCATGATGGAAGCCACATAGAAAACACCAGTCTTCTCTGCAAATTGATCAGTTAGTTTAGCATGACTCAGGTGAATATCTTTCCTGCAGTGACAAACTGAAATGCCATGATGGTCATCGCAAGAAGACTGACTGCTTTCCTTTTGTAAAAATGGAAAATGTTGACACCTTTAAGTTCCTGAGACAGCGTCTTGTCCACAAAACTTTAAGCAGGGGCCTATGCACTTCCTGATCAGCTCCCTTCTAATCCAGCAATTCTCTGGCCCTCACATTTGAAGATCTCTGTAGGAATACCACCTGGACCCAATGCACTACTTAACAGCTATCCATACTTCCTCATTGTTTCAGAATTTGTTGGCAGTCAGTCAGTGGGTGAGAGACATTTATATTCCAGATAGCGTAACCCAATAGACTGCGGGCCATACACAGTCTTCATCTCATCAAAAACTGTTTGGAGGTTTGGGTTTTTTGGCCTTCCGCTGATTGAAAGTGCTTGGCTTTCGTTTTCTACCAGCTATCCTTCATGAGGCAAAGCTTAGCTTCCACATTACACTTATAATGTGAATTAGCCTTCTTTTTAATAGATGGGATTTTATAAGTTATTCATGTGTGGAGTGTGTGCATGGATCTCTAGAACTGCTTTATCTCAGAATCATTTTTGTCAAACCCTCCCTGATGTTTCCTATCCATATTCATAACACTGTTGCCTTTAAAACAGCAGTGGAGAATCTATGTCCCACATCAAAGCTTGTGGCTTGCCGCTGAAGTAAGGGGAGCCAGCACTTGTATGCCAGACCTGCAGCCAGTCTCCAAACCTCAGCAGTCCCCCCCCTCCACATCCCAGGTGCTGGAGTATGAGCTCTAGCTCACCCTACTGTGTGCGAAGCTCCAAGAGCCAGCGCCTCCCCTGCAGGGCTGGAGTATGGAGAGAGCCCCGGCACCCTGAGCTGTGTGAGTGGAAGCTGGGTCAATGAGACTGAGGTTTTTTGGGGTTTTTTTGCTCCTCATTTGTGCGTAGACCCCGACTGATTTTTTTTGTGGGTCAGAAGCCCACTACCAAAAAAAAAAAAAAAAAAGATTCCTAACCACTGCCTTAAAAGATTACCAGGCAGAGTCCCTGCAATGCACAGGTGATTTTGATATTCCAATGTTTGTACTGATACACAATGTTAGTCAAATGCCAACAAACAGGGATGCATCCGTTTTGTTTTGCACTTTGCTGCTTGTTGAAATTATCATTTTTTGATGACTAGCTAGTTCTCCATTAACTTTTGTGAGGAGTAATGAGCCATTTGTACCCACACCTACGTTCACCAATTTCTTTTAGACAAAGCTTTGTGATTACAACTTTCTCTGGTATTAACGTTGCCTAGGATGATTAATTCATCACATCACAGTTTATGGCATTGTTCAGGTCTTCACTGATTTTCTTTAACAATGTTGCAACATGTTACCATTGGTACACATGCACTCAACTGTTACATGACATGCAGATGTCAAGCTGAGGTGCAGGACAATTAGGCAATCATTTATTCCTTTTGGTACACAATTATGTGTACATGTGCAACAAACATGCAAATAGCAAAGACCACTCCCAATGGCCTCCACTCTTCTGCGGACCTGCCTAGCCAGTAAATAGTATTCATAATAGGGATGTTAAATATCAGTTAACTGAACAGTCGATTAACCTCACAAATTCTTATCGGTTAGTTGACTATTCTATAGTCCCCGGGAAGCCCCTGTCCGGGGACAAGGTGTTAGAGCTCCTGGACCCAGCATGAGCTGAAACGGAGCCAGGCTGCCTGCTTGCCTGGCTCCTAATACACTTTAAACACAGAGCCACAGCGGGGGTAGGTCCAGGACCCAGTACAAGCCAGGACTGAGCCGGGCTGCTGGCCATCCTGCTAAAAAACTTACTGGCAGGAATGGGGAGGGAGGGAGAGAAAGATGGGGGGAAAGCAAATAGTCTATAGCATTAACCTATAAGCTTTTGCTTATTGGTTAATTGACTATATTACTACATATTATAACAGACATTTTCAAGATGGGACTTGCCTAGGGGATGTGTCTCACTTGGTATATCAATGTTGTATTTGGCGAGATGTCTTCCAAGGAGTGCAGTGTACTTTTCTAGCCTACCAATATCATCAGAAAGAGTGAGGACATTCCAGACTTACAAGTTTAGTATTCTGCGTGTTGTGCTGCTCTTGAACCACACACTGGATGACCAGCTAGTAAATGGATAATGGAGTGATATTTAGGGATCCATTTCTTCCCCTTCCCTGAACTGGACAGAGCAGCATTATCTTTAAAGAGGGTTGATTTGTTGCACAAAAAGAACATGGATTCCAAGATCATTCCAAGTCAACAACACACCAGCACTGCCAGAGGATGGTTGAATGCAGGTTTGTGACTAGGGACCCCAGGCAGCCTCCTCTCCTTGTTCCCATCACCACATTTGCTGTCACCATAGAACATCTAAAGAACAGAGCGAGTGAAGAGAAAGCAAGCAATAAGGACTATGGACCTGTACAAAAAATTGTTTAAAGTGGTACTAAGATGTACATGACTAATCACACTCTCTTGTTTTTGTTGGCTATTTTGTCTACTGTTGCAGAACGTTGCAATGAATGGGTTTGACAACACAGCTCTTTGCAAAGTGCAGGTGAAACAAATTGAAAAAAAGGTAACAACAGCTCAGTGCCCAGGCTGTGCAACAGTGCCAAAATTAGACTGCTAACGCCACTGCAGATTAAAGTAGAACCCAACTGTTCCACTGAAGTCAATGGGCCATAATTATCTAGCAGGTGAAACGATCTCAGTTTGAATACAGAATGGGTGCGTCTAGACTGGCAAGATTTTGCATAAAAGCGGCCACTTTTGTGCAAAAACTTGCCAGCTGTCTACACTGGCCGCTTGAATTTCCGCAAGAGCACGGACTTTGTAATGTACAAAATCAGTGCTTCTTGCGCAAATACTTTCACGCTCCCGCTCGGGGAAAAAGCCCTCTTGGGCAAGAATACTTGTGCAAGAGGGCCAGTGTAGACAGGGAAGAACTGTTTTGCACAAAAAAGCCCTGATGGCTAAAATGGCGATCGGGGCTTTCTTGTGCAAAACAGTGTCTAGATTGGCCACGGATGCTTTTGCGCAAAAGCACTTTTTGTGCAAAAGCATCCGTGCCAATCTAGACGTGCTTTTCCGTTAAAAGTATTTCCGCAAAATCATGCCAGTCTAGACGTAGCCAATATGCCTTTTCCTTAGACCAGCTGCCTACTAGGGCTTAGGAATCTGTTTAATCCCCAAAATAGACGTTTTAAAAATCTGGTGCCTATCCTTTAACTTGTCCAACTGTGGTATTTTATATGCTGCTTGTAATTATTAGAACTGGGAGCACTGGCTGTTGGGAATCTGGAAACACAGGAAACAGGAAGGGGGGGAGGGGAGAGGAGAGAAGATTAGCTGGGGCTGAGTGAGAGCTACAAAGGGATGCAGCAGCTTTGTAAAGGTTTTACATTTAGTAAATAAAGTCCTGTTGAAGTCTGTTAGTACCTTGCTTGCATGATACAACCCAAGCCTGAGTGGCTCTACCAGGAGTTAAACTCCAGCAGCATAGCTCTCAGGGTCATTGGAACATAAATCTTCACACCATGTCAAGATGCAGTCCCAAGAGAAAGTCTTCTAGCCTTGCAATTGTAAGGTTAACTGTGAATCACGAGGACAACAAATTACCTATTACACTGTAGAAGAAACACTGCTGAAGTTACCACAGTATAGCTGGAAGTCAAACATCTAAAATACTGACCTCTTCAAATCCCATTTCAAACAAGCATTCAACTGCTCCTCTGACAGGTAACAACCGAGTAGAAAACGCTGGATTTCCAATCCGAATAGACCTGTATTTTTCTTCATTTGGGTGTCTGATAGGAATAAAAAAATAAAACAATTATACTTGAACAAAGAAGCAAATGTTATCAGCTAAAGAACATGGACATTTTATAGTGTGGATAGGTGACACCTGTCACTCGATTTTTCAAGGTGTTAACATTTTGTAGAAGCTAAGAAACAGACTTGTTTTCATGTAATTGTAGGCAGCTCATGAAAGGTCATTTTAAAATCTACACCACTAATTCATCCTATTTAAAAAAGTTGACAATGATTAGGCCACAGTTATACTGATGGCACTGCTCGTAAGGCTGATGAATATTGTCTTTGTTTCCTTGCCCATCCCCATTTATGTCCATCTGTTTTACATTTCCATTTGCAAACTCCGTGGGCCAGGAAACATCTTTGTGTGTGTTTTTAGAGCACTTGGCACAATGGGGTCCTGTGCAATGACTAACAAACTTAGGAAGAATGATCATTTACTGCACACTCCCCGCCACATCCCCATGGCGAAATATTATGGTGACAGGTACAGTGTAAGCACCTGAGCCACACACAGATTGTGCGTGCACCTGGGGAACAGTGTGAAATGCACAAGGCCTGTGCCCTCATGGTAGAAAAGCAACTGACTCATTAGAAGCCAATTGCATGCCCTCCCACTCTCCAGAGGTGGAAGTAAATGCTGCCAGATAGACCAGTCCAGGCAAGTGCCAGGGCAGGGGATGGGGCATGACAGTGCCGCACGCAGTTACTCTAAAGCAATGTTTACCAGATAACTGGTTACCTCTTTACAACTCTACCACAAAGCCAGGTCTAGGCCCAGCAGGATGTGGCACTGGGGGATACTCTATGAGTACATGGCAGCAACACACTGTTGGTGGTGACACAGCATGAAGAATGGAGGCTGTCTAAGGTGTGTGTGTGTGTGGGGGGGGTGCAAGTGACTCAGTGGGGAGAGATGACCAGCATACACTGGGCTAAACCACTGCAGCCACCTCCCTTGCTGAGTCCCCAAGCTCCTTCTGTGCCCGCTCAAGACACCCCCGTCAGCCTGCAGACCGTGAACCAGATGCTCTATATGCACTACAGGGACTGTGACGAGACTGACCCTGCTCAGCGTGTCCGCTGCAGTTTCACGGACTGGTCCGCCCTACTCACCTGATGATATTATCCGCATATGTGAGCAATAGCCGTGAGGCTTCCAGGAAGATGTCTTGGGCATTCTGGCAAAGCTCACTCACGGCTCGAGAGGGTGGTGGCGCTGGGGGGGCCCCCGGAGCTCCGA